TTTTTTTTTTTTTTCCTTTCTTTCCCAGAAGGAAAGAAAACCCTACCAAGATTCTCAGATGGCTTAGAAAAATTAATAATAATCTGTGAAAATATGAAGTCGACCGGTTCTTGATATTTTTAATTTTTTTTTTAAATTATTTTTTTCCCCCCACCTCGCCTTCCCTCTCCTCCAGCTTCCCAGCCCACTGCTTCCCAGCTCACTGCTGAGATTGAGATAAAAAGGACCCCTTTTCTGGAGGACAAGGAGAACAGACACGTTTCTGGTGGTGTAGAAGGGACTGATGGCAATGCTTCAGAGTGTAGCGGAGACGCAGGAAAGAGATTCAACCTGTTAACAAAAAATTAAGCAGGGGGAAAATACCGGCGGGAAGATATATATATATATACACACATATATATATATATACAATTTAGAAGTATTCCCCAGGTGGCCACAAAGCATGGGCTGTGCTCCAAGCATCCACATCTCTGACAGCAGAGTGGTCTATCACAGTAGCAAAGAGTCTGAGGAGTGCAATTCCCCTCACCAGACCAACACAACCATGTCTCAACAGCAGCAAGGCAACCCCGTCCCAGGATTATTCATTAAATCCTCCAACACATCCACTTATAAGGTGAGGACTAATTCCTCTAAGAAAGACAAGAGGGAGAACAGCCAGAGCATGGAGGCAGAGACCCAGACCAGCAGATCCAGTGTTAAGGTAAAAAGGGTGCGAAACATAAGCACTGTTTCTCTCAGAACAGGACTTGGCTGTAGCGGTTTAACCCAAGGACTCTCCCTGCCGAAGCGATACGTTGTGGGGGAGCTTTTCCTGGCTTGAGCTATTACTTTCGTTTATAAACTAATCAGCCTAATGAAATGACTTTACAGATGTACCCAAGGCTCTTTTCTTCGTGCCACAAAATGAGTTTTGCTAATGCTGGGAAGGAGAGCGGTGTGATTGTCCTCGTCAGTGGTTAGAGCCAGGGGCGCGGGTCCCGCTTCTGGACGCGGAGGGCCCGTCCGTTGGTGGTGGGACTGTGCAGTGCCTGGGAGCTGCACAGCCACCCGCTCCTGTGCCTCTGTGTTTGTGCCGGGTCCTCCAGTGTTGCTGTTTGTGCTTGTCTTGTTTGGAAGCAGGGGCAAATCGCAGTCTGAAGCCATCTGCTAGCCGGGCTGATCAATTTGCATACCTCTTCCATTCAGAAAGTTGAAAGGAGAGCGACAGCAGTTTTCGCTCTGGGTACTGATTTACATTAACAACTTGTTGACCTTGTCTGTTGCTGCAAATAGGATAGTTTTTGGAGGTTTTTTTGCATGTGTGTTAGCGTGCATAGTCTTACGTAGAGATACAATGCAAGGCTGTATGTCGGCAGACACATACTGAAAGAAATAGTAATTTGTGATTTTTTTTTTTTTTTTTGAGTTATTGGTGCGGAGTGCTTGCTTGTCTGTTTACTTTCTGTTGATGGCCTGTTTGTTTATGAGTTGTACTTTAGTTCCCAATGCAATAGGTTTTGATTATTCTATATCTTTGCTTTCTTTGGGGGGGGGGGCAGGCTATCTCTATTTCATAAAAGTAAGTAATTGCAAATATAAAAAAAAATAAAAATCAAATTGTAGCAGCCCGGAGGATATTATATAAGATGGCTGATCTGCTCTGGGTTACCGTGATAAGAACTGAGATACACATGCTGTAAATATAAGATACTGCCTTGAGATGCAGACAAGAACTAGCTAAATGTCAAGCATTTTGCAGACTCGCAGAAGCTCTAATGATTTGTAGTTTTCTTAGGATTTTTACGTGCTCATTAAGACAGCTTCTAGACTATTGACCTGGAGTATTTTTTTCAGTACTGTGAGTGAGTTTCTTCAATTGTTTTCCTCCAGGTATAGTAATCTCAGTTCATATGAGTCTAAAAAGAGACTAGAAAATGAGAAGGCACTTTGCAAGTAGTGAGTTGGAGGAGGAATTAACGATACCTGAGGCAGAACATGAAGCTGAATGGTGTTACGATAAACTAAATTTTTGTGTTAATAACACTGTACAGGAAACTGAACTTTACGGCCCTGTTCACACATGATGGACATGCTTATGGTATATTTAACACAGTAACCACAGTAAGGGAACTTAAGTTGTCATCAGAGCCCCAACTGTTGTTTTGCTAGCTGAATTTTTAATTGTGTTTATATTTGCACATTACAGAATCTAAAAATTCTTAACGTTTAAATTTTGTGAATTTGTCTTCTGTGTGCTTGCTTATGGGGAAAAAAACCAACTCCAAAACCTGTTTCCAGAAGCACGCATGGGAAGAAGTTTTGGTTCTGTTAAATTTTATTGTTCGTTTTCAAGAACTTTGTAAAAATTCTTGTTAGGAGGTTTGGATAATTCAGCTAGATGCTAGACGGCTGATGCTGGTTCATATGCATACTGTAATCTTATTGGCAGTCATTCTGATTTTTATCAATCTGTCATATTTTCTGCCCCTGTCATCACTCTGAGCATGTTGATGTGAAATGATGGGTTTTGAGAAATGAGAATGGAATTCTGTTTGTGATCAGCTGAACACAAAATCGGTTGGACACATCTCATCTGCATGATTTTCAAGTGCAAAATCCTGTAATACTCTTTAGAGCTATAAAGCAGTATGGTATTTCATTCTCTGCTTTTATCATTAGTGTGTATAGTATGATCAGATTTACGGTTCTTAGGGTGCTAGATAACCGCGTTGTCTCGGGGATTGTGCTGGAGAGAGGGCTACGCTGTCACTGGAGAGCAGTTTTTGCAGTACAGTGAAGTAGTTTGGACAGAAACAAAGTGTGAGAACATTGACGATAAGGGACAGGAGCCTGAAATCCCTGAAGCCAAAAGGAGCATTGTGCAGGACGTTGTGCTGTTTTGGAGTTAAAAGGACTTTTGATTTGAGGAAGAACTGTAAGAATTAGGGTGCTACTAGGAACTATTGCTGTTCCTCAGAGTGCGTGGTACACCCTTTATGGCCCCTGGGATTCCCTCACACGAACAGAAGATGCTACAAACTTTTTGTGCTTTGGCCAATGGTGGTATCATCAGAATTTGTGTGAATAGCCGGTAACCTGCCTAAATGGCACTTTCACTTGGCTTCAGGGCGCTTTAATTGAAACTCATTCACATTCTTTTGTTGTATATGCTCAGATTAAAGCCAAAAAAGTCCTATGTGAGACTGAGAACAGAGCTTGGCTCCTGTGTAAATCTCATATTTTCACTTTGGCTGGCATTAGCATTAATTTTATTAAAGTATGTATAATAGGTAGTGCAATACATTTTATTGAATCAGTTTGTTAGCTATAGTGCACATTTTTCAAGTCAGAAAGTGTCATAAAAAGAAATAACCCATGCTAACTGTAAAATGGCATTATATATTTTGCTAATAACTCCCAAGACTTAACCTGGCTTTATGTTTATGTCTTACTATGTCTTTCTTCTGGCCAAATAGCAGAGATTTGTTTTCTGGGGTTGTGGTGTGAGCATGCTGTATTTTGTGATTTGCATCAATTTAAACACCATAGCTTTAAAAGTTAACCTGTTCTTTCCTAATATGGAAAAATCTAAGTTTATCCATAGCAAATTTGCAGAGAGCAATCCTGAGTCTGTGTGTGCAGAGATAAATGCTGTAATACCTATTTCTGGTATATATGAGTATGGTGATAGTATATAAGAAATGGAGGAGCCCTTTTAATAAATAGTATTTGGTCATGGCACCTGTATCTCCCTCCTTAATTAGTAATTTCATACATGGCTTTAATTTGAAAATTCATGAACAACTTGGAATCCAAGTGCCATATCTAAAAAGTGAACCAGCCATGAAAACCCTTCCCTTAATTTTCCATGTATCAGCTCCACAGCTTAAATGCTGTACTTTTCCCAGTGAATTATGAGCAACACTTAAAAACAGTGACTGAGGTTTGATTATCCAGTGCTACATCAAGAATATCAAATGACACCCAGTACGATTGCAAAGGAGAGTTTTCCTGTGGGTTATTTTTTTTTAGCTCTAAAAATGGCAAGAAAGTGGACTCAAAAAAGTGATAGTCTATTTTTTCCTATATATTAGTTATGATTTTTTTGTTCAGACATTTGTGGTGTTGAATTTGTGGGGAAGGTTCTTGACTCTATAGAAGTCTGCTTAAACACCTTTAGAATAATACCTCTGTTCAATCTACAGCGTAAGTGGAGTAAATGCTGGAATGGTATAAGGACTTAATGGGCACTTATTTTAAAATTTACTTGTGTATTCATAAGCATATGCTGTCCCAACATCACGTGTGTGTGTCACTCTTTTTTAGTGCATTAATATACACTGCAGCACATGCATTGCCCATTTATTTTGCCCTGTCATTCTTTTACGTATGTGAGATTTCCTTCCTCTTCTCTTGTGTAACTCTCCCTGTCATGTATATTTAACACAGAAATATGTGCGTTTGGGTGCAAGGGGATCAGAGCGTAAATCCAAACTTCCTTTATTGTAAATTAAAAGTAGTCCTAAGCCAGCAGGGCTAAATGTGAAATAGTCTTTTAATTTATCAGCTGATACAGGACAGCCAGTTTAAATCCACGGCCCTACAGCCAGTAAGTTTTCTTCATTCAAACCCTGTGAAATTGCCTGAGAATTTTACAGTCACTGCAAACCAATGGTTGCATAATTCTGCATATAGGAGGCTGTATGCTATATTGTACCTGCAGTGCTGAAGTGGATCTCGTTTCAGCATTTAACAGCACATTATTTAGTCCGTTAAGCTGTCTGCTCTTTTCCTGCCTGTCTGGTAATTCCTTCCCCTTGGAACACACGAGCTCTCCCACCCTTTGAAACTCCCACACGTAGTGTCCATGCTTCCACTGAGGCCATCCACCCTCTCTTGATTCCTCCCTGTTTCCACTGAGAGCGTCCTCGATCATTTCCCCGACAAACCTCCCATCACCGCTTCCCTCCCGCTTCCACTGACGTCAGCCCTCCTGCTCAGAGATCCTCGCTCCCACTGACAGGAGCCTTCCCACGCTGAGAGACACAAACTTGCCTCAATCTTGATGGCTCCAGACTTTCAGGCTGATGTTTTTTATGCTGTTGTTGCAAGGCGTGAACCCTTTTCTCCGGGGGAAGGGAGTCTAATTTTTAAATGATATGAACTGGTGTGGCAACGTCTGAACTGGGTTCATATTTAAGTCTATTTTTTATCTTTACCTTTTAATTTCCTGTTGTTTGCAGTGTAAACTGGAAAAAACCAAACTGTAAAACACTCGCAGCATGTAGATCACTGCACTACTAAGATAACGTAAGCTGTGTTTTCGATTTTTAAAGCGTTATTATTGGTACCTCTCCTGGTCATGCAAACCAATTCATGCAAAATGTGTCACTGCCTCTGATGGCAATTCTTTGTGTGACTGATATTAGCAAGGTTAGACACTGATTTTTTGGAGTACTTACTGTTGACAAAAATTCACTGAAACTCCTTTCAGCTGTAAATTCATCTGCCAGGCATGGAACACTAACTTCTCTCTGCCCTTTGCATTGTTCTTCACTGCCCCTGGTCTGAGCTTTGCTTTGTGTCTCTTCCCTGGCCGTTTTAGGTAGTTAATTTCAAAGCTTTTCCTTTTCTGCCACCTGAATGTGTCAATAGAGGAAGTATTAAAAACAAGCCTTTATTTCTTCAGTTCTAGGTATTTATCTTACTGTGTTGTACCCT